TGTCTATATGTTTTCATTTGTCTTAATGTATTTTCTAATTTCCCTTATGATTTCTTCTTTGACCCATTGTTAGTTTAGGAGTGTGTTGTTTAATTTCCACATATTTGTTAATTTGCCCATTTTCTTTTTGTTAATGATTTCTAGTTTCATTCCATTATGGGCAGAAAAGACAGTTGGTATGATTTCAATCTTTCTAAATTTATTAAGACTTGGTTTGTGGCCCAACAAGATCCTATCCTGGAGAATAATTCATGTACATTTGAGAAGAATGTGTATTCTTCTGTTGTTAGGTAGAATGTTCTATATAAGTCTGTTAGGTCTAGTTGGTTTGTAGTATTGTTCAAGTCTTCTGTTTTCTTATTGACATTCTACCTAAATGCTGTATCCATTATTGAAAGTGATATGTTGAAGTATCCAACTATTATCGTAGAACTGTTTCTCCCTTCAATCCTGTCAGTTTGTTTCATGTATTTTGGGGATCTATTGTTGGGGGCATATGAGTTTATAATTGTTATATATTCTTACTGAATTGCCCCTTTAATCAATACAAAATGTCTTTCGTGTAACAGTTTTTTCTTAATGTCTATTTTGTCTGATATTAGTGTAGCCACCCCAGGTCTCTTTTGGTTACTGTTTGCATGGATTATTTTTTCCATCCTTTCACTTTCAATCTATTTGTGTCTTTTGATTTAAAATGAGTCTCATGTATACAGCGTATAGTTGGATGATTTTTTTTTTAATTTATTCTGCCAGTCTCTGCCTTTTTGCTTGGAGAGTTTAATCCATTTACATTTAAAGCAATTACTAATAAGGAAGGACTTCTGCAGTTTTACTCTGTTTTGTGTGTCTTTTTGTCCTTTGTTTCCTTTCATTGTGTTTAGTTGATTTTTTTTGTAATGAGCCATTTTGACTCTATTCTCATTTCCTTTTGCATATATTTTTTAGATATTTTGTTGTTGCCATGAGTATTACTTTAAACATCCTAAATTTATAACAGTCTCCTTTGAATTGATGCACACATAACTTAAATAGCATACAGAAGCTCTGCTCCTATCCAGAGGAGTTTAAATAGCATGCAAAAATTCTGCTCCCCTCTTATATTTTAGTTGTCACAAATTGCGTCTTTGTATATTGTGTGTCCAATAACATAGACTTATAATGTTTTATGCATTTGTCTTTTAAATCACATAGTGCATAGAAAGTGGAGTTGTTGTTAGTTGCCATCAAGTTGGCTCTGACCCATGGCAACGTTATGTATAAAAGAACTAAATGTTGCCCAATCCTGTACCATCTTCATGATCATTGGTATGTTTGAGTCCATTGTTGTGACCATTTATCTCATTGAGGGTTTCCTTCATTTCCACTAACGTTCTACTTTACCAAACTTGATGTCCTTTTCTAGTGATTGGTCTTTCCTGATGACATGTCCAAAGTAAGTGAGCCACTCTCACAATCCTTACTCCTAAGGAGCACGCTGGTTGTATTTCTTCTAAGATTGATTTGTTCATTTTTCTGGCAGTCCATGGTATAGTCAGTTTTCTTCACCAGTACAATTCAGATGCATCAATTCTTCTTCTGTCTTCCTTTTTCATTCTCACTTTTGCATGTATATGAAGTGATTGAAAAGATTATGGCTTGGGTCAGGTGCACCTTAGTCATCAAAGTGACGTCTTTTCTTTTTAAACTTTAGAGAAGTCTTTTGCCACAGATTTACCCAATGCAGTACATCGTTTGATTTCTTGACTGCTGCTTCCATGGACATTGATTGTTGATTGTATTAGAACGAAATCATTGACAATGTCAATATTTTCTTCATTTATTATGATATTTTTATCGGTTACAAACCAAAATTACAATAATACTGGCTTTTACACTATTATTATTATAGCAGTTATCTTTACTGGGAATCGTTATTTCTTAACACAGCTTTGAGTTACGTTCTAGTGTGCTGTTATTGCCCCCTGGGGGACTCCTTTTAGCCCTTCTCGTAGGGGAGGTCAGTGGTAACAAACTCCTTTATCTTTTGTTTTTCCGGGAATGTCTTATTGTCTCCCTCATTTTTGAAGGATAGTTTTGCTGGATATAGACTGTTTGTGTGTTTATTTTTTCAGCATTTTATATATGTCTGCTTCTGGCCTCCATGGTTTCTAAGGAGAAATCAACTATTAACCTTACTGAGGATCCCTTGAATGTGATGAGTCATTTCTTTCTTGCTGCTTTCAAGATTCTCTTTCTGGCTTTAGTTTTCAACGGTTTGATTACCATGTGTCTCTACTTGGGTATCTTTTGAGTTTATCCTTCTTGAAATTCATTGACCTTCTTAGATGTGTAGATTCATGTCTTTCATCAAGTTTTGGGAGATTTTGGCCATTACTTTTTCAAATAGTCTTTCTTCCGCTTTCTATCTCTGTTCCCTTTCTGGGACTCCCATAATGCTATGTTGGTTTGCTTGATGGTGTGCCACAGTTCCCTTAGGCTCTGTTCACTTTTCTTCATTCTTTTTTCCTTTTTCTCCTCAGACTTGATAATTTCAATTGTTCTATCTTCAAATGCGTTTATTCTTATACTAGCTTAAATCTGCTGTTGAATCCCTCCAGTGAATTTTTTAATTTTCTTTATTGTACTTCTCAGTTCCAGTATTTCTGTTTGGTTCCTTCTTTAAATTTGTATTTATTGATTTTTTTTTTCTGTATCATTTTCCTGGTTTCCTTTAGTCTTATTTTTAATCCATGTTTTCCTTTAGCTCTTTGAGTATATATATATTTTGAAGTCCTTCTCTGGTAAATCCATTATTTGGACTTCCATGGGGACTGTTTCTGTCACTTTAATTTGTTCTTTTGAATGGGCCATCTTTTCCTGTTTCTTTATAAGCCTTGTTATTTTGTTGTTGCTGTTAAAATTGGGACATTTGAATATTATAACGTAACTCTGGAAATCAGATTATCCCCCTTCCTAAAGGTTTGTTTTGCTTTGTTTTGTTTTTGATTGTTGAAGGTTGTAATTGACTTTTCCAAACTATTTTTCAGAGAAAGTATTCCTTGATGTGTGTGGTCACTGAAGTCTCTGTTCCTTTACTTCATGTTCAACGAGTGTTTTGGCAGATATTTCCTTGAATGCCATGAGCAAGAACAAAAACAAAGGAAACAACTAGCAAGAACAAAGAAAACAAACAACCCACACACACATACCCACCACCTCTCTCTGTCTTTGCAGATTGGCTCTGCACTCAGGCACTCCTTTAAGAATTTTCCAGGCTTATGTGGAGCCTAAAGAGCATCTCAAGGTGAAAGCTTAGGGTTTTTTCAGATGTTTTCTGAACATGCGTCTTGCCCGAGGTATGTGGGTGGCTTTCTAAATACCCCCATATACAGGAGTGCTTTTGAATGTCCTAATTTCTCAAAGAAACATTCTCCCTGGCTTTTCCTTCTTGCCTTTATGTGATCTATTATATGTCTCAACTGTGGTCTTTTGCCCCAGGTGGCTGCAGATTGTTTGTCCACATCAGAATATTTTTTGAGTAATGCCCACTGCTTTTCTGCCCTGAATGTATTCCAAGATAGGTGAAACAATGAGTCCTTGAGGCCTCCAGACAAGTTAGAATGACAAACTCACTAATTTGCTAATAAGGTGGGCTCTGCTCCCTCCAGAATCAGGTACACTGGGAACATGAGTTGCTGTCTTTAAGACTGCTGCCAAGCTAGAGTGGGGATGGGCTCAGGGCAAGTGAAATTACCACAGAGCTTTCCCATTTTGTACTTACCTTTTATTGATTCAGCATTCACTTGGTTGCTGTAAACCTTTGGACTGTTTTCCAGCATTCTGACAAAGTTGGTTCTGACAGTTTCTGCTTGCTTTTCTGTTTTTCTGGAGGGTACAGGGGCTTGGAGCTGCCTACTTCGTCATCTTGCTGACATCACTCCTGCAAGTTTCTTTTCAACAGCATGTATTTTCCCTTTAGTCTACTGATCCCTATGTAGAATACAATTTAGGAAATTTGAGTCAACCATAAAGATGGTTTTAACTTTCCAAGAGAGGTTATTTTGGGAGAAATTGCTTCAGTTTTGAGGGCTTTTTTTTTTTAGGTGCTCTGAGCTATGTCTTCTCTTGGAGTATAAACAGTCTAGTGTCACCATCACCTAATTCCCCTTCTTGCCAGGTGACATTCCCCATCCCCCCTCACCCAGCAGAGCTGGTAGAGCATCAGGGGCATGTGGCTAATGCCTTATTCCTCTTCCCATCACAGAAGAACTGGAGTTCCCTCAGATCATCATCTTTGTGGTGATCACGGTGATGGTCGTAGTCATCATCTGCCTGCTGAACCATTACAAAGTCTCCACTGGGTCACGGGGGATGGAGGATGTTACCTGGCAAGAAGAGGATTAGGTGATGGTGACACTGGGCTTTTCATATACCAAGAGAAGACAGAGTTCAGAGCACCTGCCCAGCAGGGAGGGGCTGGGCTGAGGGCCAGGTGCCTGTAACACTCACTGGACCTGCACTGTGACAGCCCACATGGAGAATGGGGACAGTGACCTCACAGCATCTCAGAAGGCTCTCACAGTGTCAACTGAATAAATTTTCATAAGACCCTTTTCAGTATAAAATGGCCAAGACAAACTGTGAAATGCATTAGGCTGAGCACAGAGGACAGTTGAAACGTGCCCAAAGCAAGGGCCTCCCTTTCTTCAAGATGCTATTAGTGGCCGGGTCTGGCAGTGGCCTGGATTTAATGTCCTGTGGGAGCCAGAGCACAGGCTTCAAAATTTCACAGCCTTGCATTGAGTCCCAGCCCAGTCATGTGCTTGCTTTATGGCTGTACTTCCATTTCTTCTTCTTTAAAATGGGTATTAAAGTCCTGTAAGGACCCAATGCATGCAGGGGCCTTCTCTCTTGGTAATTGCAGTTACTGTAACACTTCGAGGAAGTCGGTGGTCTTGAGAACAGGAGCTGGTAGAGCATCAGGGGCATGTGGCTAACGCCCTTTCCTCTTCTCATCACAGCGGAGCTGGAGTTCGCTCAGATCATCATCATCGTTGTGGTGGTCACGGTGATGGTCGTAGTCATCGTCTGCCTGCTGAACCATTACAAAGTCTCCACGCGGTCCTTTATCACCCATCCGGATCAGAGCAGGAGGCAGGAGGAGGGGCTGCAGCCGGTGAGTCTAGGCCTCAGGCCGCATCCCCAGGGGCTGCTGTGGCCTCTGCCTGAGGCCCCAAAGGTTGGGCCAAGTGCTCACCAGCCATGACACCATCCGCAGAGCACCATCCTTATCAGTCCATGCAGTGCAAAGGCACTGCAAAGCTTTTTATTGAAGGCCGACATACTTGCAGAAAAGTGCACGTTACCAACTGAACACACCTGTGTTACCAGCACCCAATCAAAGAAGAGAACATGCTTGAAACCCTCTCAGGCCCGTGTAGCCACTGGGGCCTTGTCACCTCTGCCTTGACCTCTACTATCACAGGTGGGCTCTGCTTCCTTTGAATCTTGTGTGAACAAAAGCACACAGCAGGCACTCTCCTGTGTCTGACTTCTTTCACTTGGCACTGTACTTGTGAGATCCTCTGTGTTGTTTTAAGTCTGGTCCTGGAGGTGTCCCAGAGGTTAGTAAGGCCTTTCAATGTCACTACAAGTGTCTGCAGGTGCTGCTGTGCTCAACAGTGGCAAGGTATGGCTGAGCAGAAGGGGATGGTAAGAACAGTGGATGCCTGAGGTCTTCTCTGGTCGGCTCCAAGGTGGGGTTGGGCTGTGCAGGGCTGCTCAAAGAACAGTCCATCATGGTCTCTCCCAGCTATTGTCTTTTCAGTTTCCTAGCGACCTCTTGACCCAAATCACCTTTCTCCCCTCGGAAATAAGAGGCCAATATTCAGTTAAGCTGATCTACTGTCTGTACCTGGAGACCAAGGCCACTGAGGCTTTCTGTTCCAAGAGGTTTTACAGTCCATGATGGCAGCATCTTTCAGTGGTGGATACAGTTAGGCGAGTATGTGTTCTTGTCTTCACTGGTGGGCACAGAAGGCAGAATCACCAGACCCTCAGTCTCTGTGGTGTGCCAGGCGGCAGGGAGACACTCTGGCTAGAGCCTTTGCAGAGCATCCAACCGGCCCTGCCTCCAGCCCTCACTGTGGGAGTGTGGCTGTGCAGCCTTCACAGCAGGTGTATGGAAATAAGGTGGATGTATGGACATGCTCCCTGACCCCACCTTGAGGAAGACCCCACACACACACTCTCTACTGCTCCGCCTTTCCTTTGTCTCCCCTGGCCCTCATCCTGGCCCCCGAGCCTCCTCCAGCACTGTTATGTTGCTTTTCATGCCCAAGTGGTCTTGGTCCCACAGGGAGTCTGGTCCCGACTGAGCCCCCTGAGTGGGAGTTTGCCTCAGTGTCTGGGTCCTATAGCTGCCCTGCTGTGGGGCAAGGACAGTTCTAGCACCTGGAACTGGTGGGGTTGATTCTTCTAAAGTTCTGAACATAAACTACACACAACTTCCCAGAGTTTAAGGAGTCGCACAGGACAGAGTGTCACAACAGCAGAATTTCAGAACTACAAAAGCATTGGCCATCACGTAAAGATGAGGCAGAGACTAGAGTGATGTGTCTACAAGTCAAAGAATGCCAAGGATCTGCAACCATCACCAGAAGCTAGGAGAGAGGCAAGGAACAGATTCTTCCTTAGAGCCCTAAGAAGGAATCAACATGGCAGACACCCTGATTTTGGACTCCTAGCCTCCAAAACTGTGAGACCATAAATTTCTGTTCTTCTAATCCACACAGTTTGTGGTACTTTGGCACAGCAGCCCTAGGAAACTAATACATCTGGTAAAGTAAACTGTAATGTAAGCAATGAAAAATGGAACTGGGAAAAGTAGCATAAGTTGTTATGAGTGTAATTATCTCGTCCTTCATAGTGGAGTTAATCCATGCTATCTAAAATTAAACCTTGTAGTTAAAAACAAAAAAAAGCACTGGCCATGGTGACTTTGCCCCAGACTTGATGTGAGGACTGTGAATGCTGACCTCTAGACTTGGGACATAAAAACGGTCCCACTCACCCGTTATTGTCAACAACAGGCAGTCCTCAAGGGTCCATGCATCACAGGATACGAATTTATGAAAGTCCCCAGTCTTACACTGCTTGCTCCGTGAGCACCAAAATCCTAGGAGCTTAATGGTGACGGGACTATCGCATTGATGAGGGGTAGGGTGGCATCATCAATTATTGTAATCATTGCCAATAAGTTGTACACCTGTAAAAAGTTTTGACAAAAGGTGTCTGATAAATATATTTACAACAATGACAAAAAAAAAAAAATAGCTGCTGAGGCTGCTTACGTACAACTAAATGCCTCATGGGATTTTGTTCCTTGGTTTGCAGTTTTAGGGTCATGATTTCATGGACATCCCAGTTAATAGGCCTAGTAACATGTTTAGTGCTTCTCTTCTACCTCCTAGTTAGTTATGTAGTGCCTGGGGTCTTAAAAGCTTGCAAGTGGCCATCCAAGTCACAACAGTTAGTCTCTATTCACCTGGACCAACAGAGGAAGAAGGAGAATCAGGAATAGGAGATGAAAAGTAGGGCTAATTGCCTCCATGAACAACTGCCTCCTTTGCCATGAGACCAGAACTGGATGTTGCCCAGCTACCATTACTGAACATTTTGATCAAAGATTCCACAGAAGAATCCTGATCAAAGGGAGGAAGTTGTACAACAGAATTTCATATTCTCATGGACTCTAGACTTTCTGGAGCCATGGAGAGTAGATGAACCCCTGAAACTATTGCCCTAAGATAATCTCTAAACCTTAAACCAAACATATCCCCTGAAGTCATCTTAAAACCGAATAGTTTAGCCTAACTGGTAAAAAAGGTCTGCCTTGAGCATTATGCTCTTTTAAGAACTGTCTATATGGGATCAAATTTACAACAACAAGTCAAAAGATTTGATAGGAACCTTCGGGGGCAGTAAGTTTATGAGTTTATGTTAATGAGGGGGGAACAACTCAGAAAAGGAGTTTGAGAATTACAACTTGAAGAATGTAATCAATGTCACTAAACTGTACATGTAGAAACTGTTAATTTAAAAAAAAAAAAAGGCTAAGAGCTCCCTGAACATAGGAAACGGAGTTCTTTTCTGTCCCTTTGTGTGTGCTGTCTCCCCACCTGGACTCCTGTCCAGCCCCTGCCCTCCCCATCCCTGCCAGCCCACCCACCCCTACACTTCCTGCTCACCTCCCTCTCCCTCAAGCCTCTGCACTCCCTGCCTCACCTAACCCTGACCAGCATCCTTTCAGACTTGCCTCAGGTAGCATCTTCTTCCCTTCTACCCTGACTCACCTTGCTTGGGTTAGGTGACTCCTTCCTCTGTTCTCATTGTTTGCACCTCATTACCGCAACACTGCCCAAGTGCCTGTCCCCCCATCAGGCAGGACTTGTTCTACAGAGGTGACAGTGAGGGCACAGTCATGCCCTCCTAAGGAGCAGGCCCAGCAGAAGTATCATTTTTAAAAGGCAAAAAAGAAAACACATTTATATTTTTCCTTTTTTAAGGCAAAAAAGCAAAAACATAAATGTGTTTTCCCTTGGAATGTGTTTTTATTTCCTTTGAGAGTGGGTCTCCCTCCCCTCAAGTCAGGGAGGTGACATGGTGACTGTAGAGGTCCCTTCAGGCTTCGCACGCAGGAAGTTTGCTGTTGAGTTGATTCCAACTCATAGCAACCCTAAAGTACAGAGTAGAACTGCCCCATGGGGATGGTCAAAAGCTGGTGATGTCTTTATCACTGTCCATTCCCCTGAGAGTTTTGTGCTGAGATTCAAGCCTCACACAGCACTTTGCTGCTGTACTATTGGTTTTTTGTGTGACCCTGGCGTGCTACTTCTTAATGCCTGGATTTCTCTCCTCAATAAAATGGGAGTGTGGATATTGCACAGCTTACAACAGACTGCGCTTGATTGCTTAATGTTTCATAAAGTCAAGGTGCACTTTAAACAGTTACAAGAGACAGTTCAGTGCCAGACCCTTGCTCATTTCATTACTAGGAGCATTAGCCTAGAGAAAGTCCCTGGTGGTGCAAAAGATTTGCACTCATCTACTAACCCACTTATCGGTGCCATGGCAGAAAAGCCTGGCAATCTGCTTCCGTAAAGATTACAGACAGGAAAACTCTATGGAGCAGTTCTACTCCAACCCACATGGGGTCTCCATGAGTTAGAATTGACTCTAAGGCAATAGGTTTTATTTTGTTATAGCTCTAAAAAAAGGAAGAGAACAGGTGAGGAAGAGAATTTCCTCCTCTCTGGGTACAAATACAGCCCTAGATAATATTGTGAGTGAGGTCACAGTTCCATTTCTGTTCCCACCCTCTACCTCCAAGCCTCCTGTCTTCCAGGACCTGCTCACCCAGGGCGTCATGCCTCACAGTTGCGTACTTCCTTCCCTGACTCCTTCTAGGAAGTGCCAGTTCCTTTGTTACAGCATTAGGAAAACAACTGATTAGTTTACACCAGAGGTTCTCAGCCAGGGGTGATTTTGCCCCCGGGGGACATTTGGCAGTATCTGGAGAAGTGAGTTGTCACAGCTGACAGCTGGGAAGGAGGTACTACAGGGATGTTGCTAAACATCCCACAATGTGGGACATCCCCCCAACAAAGAATGATCTGGCCCAAATGTCAATAGACGGAGAAGCCCTAAGCATACCCAGGGCTGCTCGCCACTCTTCCCTGGCATCCCTGGCCTTGCTGTGGTCAAGTATACTTGTTCCAAAGTATGTCTCTCAGGCTGGCTCTGGGGCACACAACAGAGGAATGAGAACACTTCCAGCAGCCCTGGGGGAGATAGTGGGGTCCACAGAGGCCTGGCATGACCAGAGGGTCCTCCTTGGGACTCTGCCTTGGGAGCAGTCTCCCTGGGCAAAGTCTGCCTTTCTCTGTCTGTCGTCATCCACAAAGCACCTGCTGCAAGCCAGGCACTGAGTGAGAAGTAAAGAGAGAAGAGAAGGGAGCTCCTTGCACTCTGCCCTTCCCTGAGCCCAGCTAGCTATGGCAGAGGCCCCACCAGCATTTTCTAGATCTTACTGGGGGGACTCAGGGTCTCAGGTGGCCCTCTGTGTTTGTGGGGTGGGGCAGAAGTGTCTGGGACAGAGTCCCTTGGCCAATGCCC